ATGTTCAAATATACTGTTGTGATTGAAGAAGTTAAATAAAAATGTCAGTCATCAATTCATGCATCACCTCATGTCATCATAACAGAGGTCTGTCTTCCAGGAAAAAACAGTTTAAAATTAATGTAATATAGTATTGGCCATACTATATGATGTATTGCTTGTCTTTGTTTAATAATACAGAAGACAAAGACCTTAAAAAAATAATCGCATCGCAATCGCAATATTGGGGCAAAAAAAATCGCAATTAGATTATTTTCCATAATCGTTCAGCCCTAATCCAAAGGGCTGCTTTCTTGCAGTGATAAGCTAGATGGTCCCTGCAGTAAAATGTGATGACTTTTGTGGCGGCTCAGGATGTGCACCAGGTTGTCTAGCAGCAGGTCGTTGGCTAGATCCTCCACCAATCAAATCTGTGTGCCAAAGTGTCCTTGAGCAAGACATTGAACCTTAAATGAATTACCTGTGATGCACCAATCAGAGTGCAAGTGTGTGGGTGGTAGAGAAGCATTTCTTAGCATTGTTTATGTATGAACTGGACCAGGACTTGGATACAGACTTTCTACTCAGTTGACCACTCAAAGTTCTTTCTACTATACCTCTCATTCATCCAGTCACACACATTTATACATTATTCATGATTAAGTGCTTACTAACATTCACACACACACTAACGATCCAGTGGATGCATCGGGGGGCACTCAAGGATCAGTATCTTTTCAAAGGAATGCAAATGTGGAGTCAGGGATTGGCCCATCAACCTTCCGATTAGCAGGCGACCCACTCTACCACTCAAGCTACAAGCGACCAAGTAAAGAAAAATAAATATACTAATTCTTCTCTGCATGGTAGTGTCTTGACTTGCATTTCTTTAAAACGTAACTTAAATCAGTTAATGTTGTCTGATCTCATTATTTAAACACGCTGAAATGCATTCGTCTCACTCACTTTTGGGTTCTGCTCCACAGATGTCTGTAGTACAGCTGGTTGAGAGGGTGCAGCAGAGATAGGGATTGTCGTCCCAGAGTGCTGTCCCTGTAAAAAAAAGGTTGAAGCAATATCTCTTTTCAAATATATTTTCATAAAACCAAAGGATTTGGTTCCTGCTGAATATCATATCACACTATGATATGAGCAGTTCCATTAAAGACACAAAGGCTGACCATTTCTGGTGAAGAGAATGGGTTGTACTCCCCGACGTTGTCATTGACTCTGCTGGTGGCTTGTGTGACTGAAGCATCCTGGGAAGAAGAGAAAAAAAAAAGATCAAACACACTGTAAGGTGTGACACTGAGAATCCATGACTGTTCAGTGTTTATGTGGTGCCAACTGTGGAATTATAGGAGTGTCCCACCCAGTGGAGGAGCAGCAGCTGAACACTGAATTTTCTCTCACCAGATTATCTGTTAATAACACTCTTTGCCCTGGACCACATTTGTTCCAGTTAAATTACAGTTTCGTGTGTGTGTGTGTGAATAAAGATTAAGCATCCATTTCTTAAGTTAAAATGTCAAAGACGTGTGGATTCATAAGCATTACTTCCTAGGTCTATAAGACCTAAAAAAAACAAACAAAGAAAAAAAACCCACTGGTCTGTAAAACATAAACAAACAACAACAAAAAATATACAAAGAAACAAAACTATCTATAAAGTTAAAAGCAGCGTCACTGGCTTGCTACTGGGGTTTCTAGTTAATGGTGTCATCTATGAATAGCTTGTAAAAGAGAACTCCCGGTTAATGGCAGGCACCTGTTCTCGGGTCTGCTCACCTGCGCAGGTGAGCTCAGAGCACACTTCCAGCGAATATTCAGTTTTAACGTAAAAATGTTTATAAGCGCATTGAAACGTGTCAGACTTAACAGTGGCGATTCTTAGCCAGGAAATGCTGAGGCCAAACCCAGCAACCAACCAAACAGGTTTTTGCTAGAGCATATCTTTGTATTCACGTTACACCAGAAAACGAAAAGCTTCTGAAACTCGATTCGCGGGCAGAAACCAACCAACACTCACCTGGAAGGGATTTACGTCCATTGGGTCAGCGAAAGGGTTACTGTCGAAACCCGACATTGCGAGAAAAGTTTATATTGCGTAAAATAAACAACGACGGCACCCTTCTCCCCGGCGGCTCTCGCTGGTCCTGCTCCTACTGATGGTGCTGTGCGACGCCGGCGGCACTGCGCATGCGTCGCTTGTGTGGGCCGCGTCACCGAAGGTTGGCCGGAGTCAATTAGCCCTCCTTTATTTTTAGCAGTAATGTGAATTGGTTTCAAATGAGCGGTTCTCGTGACAGTCTGTCCACGCCGATTATGTGTGTGTCGAAATGAGAGCCAGTCTGCGGAGGTAAACGCACAAAGTGAGCTCCTTTTTAAAACTTTCCTCAATGTCCTCGAGGGTTTGAAGTTGCCTTTAGGTGCTGTGGAAATAATAGCTTATTTAAACGACTGAGCAAAATCACGAGTTCACCGGGAAAATAAGAATTACCTGATCTGCTACTGAAAGACAGATTTTTAAAATTGTTTGCTGAACATTGTGGCTCCAGTTTAAAAACAGTACCTACAGTCCAGTACTAACAAGCTTGATAGTCAGCGTTTTATATAATCACCTTTTATTCTCCAGCACAGCCTGAAAAGCTTTCATTTCTTAAAATAATCTTCAGGAATAGTTCTCCAGGCTTCTTGAGGGCCATTCAAAGCTTTTGTTCTGTTCTCTGTCAAGATGACCCCACACTGTTTAAATGGTTTTCTATCCAGGAATGCTTTTTGCAGTGTGGATTTTCATGTTGTAATTTTATGCATTTTTTTTTTTTGTCTAAACTGTATTGTTGTACATTGACGAGGTGTTACTCATTGTTTTTGTAGGACCGTTGCAAATAAAAAGTAGTCTTCTGGATACATCTGGCATATTCACATTGATATGTTCATTAATATGTGTTGTCCCTTTTTAAAAAAGTAAATTAAGCTAAATTTTCAGGGTGTTTGGGGGTGACCGTAATGCTGAAGAATGAAGCGTCACTAGTCAGATGCTTTTGCAAAATACAGCAGTACTTTTCTGTACTGTTGGATTTTGACAAGATCTCCAGCACCAGCCTCCATCTTATTGTACAGATCGCTGTAGACACTGTTGTAGCCGTTTTCAATTAAAGGGCCAGATGTGTCTCTCAGGTTGTATTACTGAATTACCAACCTTACTAAAAAGAAATGGGCCCCCAGCCATACATCTGGATTGGTTTGATAAGAATACGTCCATAAACCATATTACCATTACCAAAATCAGCTAATAAAGAATGAAAGAATGCAGGAAACAAAGTATGTAGTACCTGTCCTACTTCAAGAGGAAGACGCTTGAATGGGGTCCTATTTCACTTTCCAGGTGAGAACAGACTGCAAAACTACAAACTGATAAGACCTGTAACATGAAACAGTCCATTTATCCAGTCTCTCTGGATAAATGCTTGTTACAGAATACACTGAACAAATCATCAGATCGATACAAGGATGAGTATAAAGAAAAAATGGTGCCACTTGTCGTCGGTCGTTTACAGAAAGTACAGATACAACTTGGTGCTGAATCTCTGGAAGTCCCCTGCAGGGATGGAGCACCATTTTTCTGACAGATATTTCCTCATTTACAGTTTAATGGTGACAGTCCCCCTGTTTGTGTCATACTTGTGTGAACATCATGGTCACCAGATGTTCCCTGTTGATCATCTCAGTCTTCCATCCTATTTACTTATCTCTTTCCCACAGATTTATTGTAGATGACACTTTAGTCACTGCATCCTTCACAAACAGCCAGTTTATATTTAACTCAATCTGCTGCCAGCCATCTCTCAACAGTGAACCTTCTTTCAAAGGCTCTCCATTCTTTCTTCTTGATAGAATTTGTTTTTAATGCCACAGAGCAGACTGGCTGTTAATTAGACCATACAGCGTTCCTGTGTGGAAGTATCTGTACTTTCCACTCATTTATACAGCTCTGAAATGTGTCACCCAACTATCACAAAAAAGCCTGTTAAAAAAAAAAAGAAAAGAAAAAAAAAGCCATTTTTGCCTTTTGCTTGCAGTGACAAATGGCAAGTACAATAAACAGACAAAATCACACCCCTTAATCTTTGAAATCAAGCTTTCTGTCCCATTGGCACAGGTGTATAAAACCCAGCGCCTAGCCATGCAGCCTGACTTTACAAACTTGTTCTAAAGAGCTCGCTGAATGTGAGTGTTGAGCTGTAATAGGATTCTAACATGTTTGTTTAATGCCTGCTTAGAGAGGCAAGGTCTTTACAGTATAAAGAATTTTGAGGCAACTGTTGTGATTTGGTGCTTTATAAATACAACTGAATTGACTATCCCATGATCTTCTGTAAGTGATGTCTTTACAAAGTGGAAGTGTTTAGGAGTCACACCAACTCATTAATGAAGTGCAGACCACGTAAAAATCACAGCTTGATCACTGAATGCTGAGGTGCATGGTGTGTAAATTCGCCAACGCTTTGCTGACTCAGGAGCTCCAGACCTTCTGGCATTAACATCAGCACAGAAACTTTGGGCTGGTAGCTTCGTGGCATGGGTTTCCATGGCCGAGCGGGAGTAATATATGAGTGGCTCACTTTTGTGCAAGTGTATCAAGAAATGGTAAAATGCTGTGCAACAATACAAGCAGAAGAGAATCAGAAATATGATAATAAATTAGTAATATTAGTGGTGGAGGTGGTAGAGAAGGTCAACTAATAATTAGAAGGTTGGTGCTTCGATCCCTGGCTGCTCCAGTCTATATGCCAAAGTGTCCTCGGGCCAGACGTTGAATCTCCAAGTTGCTTCTAATCTAGTCACCAGACAGTGAATGTTACGGTAGATAGTGCTAGTGCTTATATTAGTGTTTGAGTGAATAAGACCTGTATTAAGCCTTTTGTGTGCTTAAGTAGAAAAGCGCTATATATGAACCAGTCCAATTAGCATTTTGTAACAGAATAGTAATATTGCAGACATTATGGATTACAACAGCCAAATACTGTGTGCATTCAAGGGTTTTATATTGTTTGTTAGTCTAAACCTGCTAATTGTTCTGGTTTGGATCACATTGTTTTTGCACAGTTAATCCAATCCAACTACCCCTAACTACCTAATGTCAAATTCCCCTACTGGCTCATGCACAACTTGGAATTAGCTCCTTCAGTTTCAGGGTCATTACATAGCGCATGGCTGACTCACTATCATGAATAATTAGCAGTGGGACTCTAAAGGTGCCCCTGTTAGCATTCTTGTTATTAAAATGAGTAATTCCCTATTTTAAACACAGGCCTAAAGAAAAGAATTGCACTTATGCAGTTGGACATTTTCAACTAAAACATTCACACATTAATAATGACAAGACAATGATTTTATGTTCTTGCATGGTTGCTATTGAGCAAATGCTTAAGAGACAGAAGAGAATGGCTTTGGGAGTGGGTAATAATGGATTTCAAGAATAGAATGGCATTTGTTCTCTATACTGTACATATGACCTGTACTGTACATAACAGTTGTATGGCTGTTAAGCGGTGAATGCAGGAATTTTATCACAGATTCCAACATTCCTAAAGAGCTGGGATCCCCTTGGCTGGAATACACACCAGCTGACTTGGTCCCTTTGATGGCTGTATTTCCCTTGTAAGGGGAAAAAAAAAAAAGCAGCACAAACTTAAAACACATTAAGTGGGTTTTTTTCTTTTCTGTCTCACACAAACATACAGTCACGCATGAGCTCTCGGCACATGTACACAACAGAAGTGTGGGATCCACTGCCCAAACCCAAACATCTCTGTTCAAGAATCTCAATTTTAAAAAACCAAAAAAAAAAATAAACCAAGATAAATATTTGACTTCAACTACCCAGCAGAGGCTGGTGTTCCGGCTTTGTACAGTATTTATACCTGTATATTATATGCTATAAAGAATTTCTGTGACATTAAAATTTTTAAATAAGGGAAAAATTATTTTGTAATAACAAAGCATCCGCTGCTTACATTTATTGTAAACTCATAAAGCAGCCTATAGTCGTGAGCTTTAAGTTCACTGTAACATCTGCGACGCCTGATGGTGCCCGATTTGTTTTTCTTCTCAATTTCTGTAGTACACTGCTTCAGCTTTCCAGCTCTGTAATATTCCCTGATGCCGTGTTTTCTTCTGCATATTCCAACATTCCCTTTTCTCTGTCCTCCTGCTCAGTTTGTCTCCTCTTGGCGCCGAGTAAAGAGTTGCCAAGACACTGTGAGAGCACGATTGGCAGTTTCATCCACAGAAGAGCCCATCTACTGATTCTTGTTTCTCTTCCAGACAATTCTCCTCCCCGCCTCAGGAGGGGGAAACACTGTACACAGCACTTGGGGAAATTTCTTTGCAGATTTTAAGAATGAAAGGCTAAGCAAGAGTGGTTTGAGGAGTGGAGATCAGTTGCCAGTTTGTCACCTCCCATTGGGAACATGTATGCCTGGCAGGAAGTTGGATAGGGATCGCTTTGGTGTCTCATTGTCCTTCATACCATGAATTCATTACTTCCATATACTACCACAGGCTGTGGCATGTCTGAAGGGTCCCTGCCATGACCACCACCTTCTCTGGAGGGCCTTGGGGCAGTATGTTTGGCTCCCTTAAGTTTCTGCTTACCCTTATCTGGATTGTAAGTGCCTCGGCTGGTAAACTGGGGCCTTTCATCATAAATCACTTCCTGATCTCCGGTAGAGCTGTTGTCTAAGCTGTAGGATGGGGAGGCTATGGGTGGAGTCAGACTCTCGGCCTGTGATGGACCCGAGCTGACACCAGAAGACTTGGACTGGAAACGAAAGCGCCGGGTGGAAGAAGAAGACGATGAAGGATGGAAATGTGATGAGGAGGAGTACGAGGACCCAGTGAAACACGAGTCTACAGAATCCAGAGACGCAGGTTGGCGGCGGAGAACTCTGCGTCGGGGGCTCTTCCCGTCAGATTTCAGAGTCCAGGGCAATGTCAACAAAGGACCTCTCTCTGGAGAAACCCCCACCCAAAAAATGCAAAGAGGTCAATATTTTTTATATGCACACGAAGAATTGTGAATGATAAGGCAGTTTAGAATGATCAGTATGGCATACCAGAGAAGTCAGAAATGGTCTCTTCAGAGTCCACATTAAGGTTTTCAGAGCTGTCAGCTGTACCGATGGAGGCCTCAGACTCCAGGGTCTCATCATCTGATGCTCGTGGCTCCAGAGACAGCATCTCAAAGGTCAACTCCTCCCTGTAGAGACAAGCATCATCCAGAAAAACAAATGAGCTGCGCACAAGTGATGACACACAGCTGGCATCAATGCAACACACAAGCCAGA